CAGAAAGACGTAGAGCGAGAAGAGAGAGAAAAATCTTAGGTGATGCTGGTAGTAGATTACATCGTATAACAGCTACTCATAATCCTTCTTTAAATACAGTAGGAGAAATTTCTTCTACTTTAACTACACCATTGACTAGTAGAAGGTCCTCGCCTCAGCCCAGTCAAAAGTCTTCGCCTACCACTACCGAAGCACCAGATAATCCCTTCTCACCAAAAAGAAAGAATACTGGAAATTATGGTATGTACTTTTTAAAATTATGAAAGAATATCTTTCTGAGACTATAGCTTTCAATCTATAAAATAAAGAGAATTAATTAATTTCGAATTGTTGAAAAAAAAAAAAGTTTTAATAAACAAATTTATTGATTTTTTACAGATGCTTCATCACCAACAATAGTTCCTCCTTCAGTTGTTGGTTCATCCAACACAACATCTGAAAAAACATTTCCTAGTATTAGAGTTAGTGATCCTCCAGATTGTTTTGAGACAATGCCGCAAAATATATCACAAGAAGACAATTATCCAGTTCATCCGACAACGCCAACTAGATTTCCTTCTGGAATTCCTTCTGTACCTTCAACTCCCTTGACTCCATTACCATCAACAGCTAGTATGTTAGGTGAAGACGAAACAAATGGAAATTATGGACATTTTGATAATCAGGATGAATACATTCGTCAAATTTTAGGGAATTTTGCAGCAGGAAATTATCAAGCAAGAAATAGTAGTACGACCTCACTAGCTTCAACTATAGGAGGTAGTGAATATCAATTTAACCCGCAGCAAATTGGTGGAATCCCTGGATTATATACAGCACAAGATGAATATATTCAACAAGATATTTTACAACAACAACAATTGCAGCAAATTCCTTTTCCTTTTCAACAATTCCTTAATCCTGATATGAAATTTTTAAATCCGTTTGGAGGTGCAAGTCAACAACAGGTGGATTTACAATCAAAATTATGGCAGGTTATACATTTTGGTACAATGATATTATTAGGTGGTTTAATTGCTTGGGCCGAATTCTTGAGAGAAAAAGGCGCTTGGACTAGATTTTATTTATTGAATTATGAAAGGCCGGAAGATATAATCGCTACTGAAAGTATTCCATATATGGTAATATTTTAAATAAGTTTATATTAGGATTTTACGTTTATATTATTCCGAGTAACTTCAAGTGGTTTAATTTCTCAAATTAGAGAGTATTTTGGTACTTCATAACTGTGGAACTTATATTGCAATCTTCTAGAATGTTCTTTCAACAGGTAAATTATTTATAATCATTTGTTTTCTTTCGTTCGTTAACCTAATTTATCTATTAATATAGGATCGAGTATTTCAAGGTTCAACATTGGGTCAATTCGCTCGTAAGCTACCTGCACCATTTTCTGATGTACTTACTGTATTATTAAGATATAATTTAATTTGGAATAGTCTTTGGGAAGACATATGTATGCTAGTATTTATTGTTGGATTTACTATAACAATTTCCCCCTTTATAAGTTATTTTGCTTAGATTTTACACTTAGATTCAAGTTGGTGGAATTGTAATTACAAAAATGGATAACTTATTGTTTATTTTTTTTTATTTAACCAATAATTTTAAGGAAAATAAAATTGGCTTCAATTGTGTTAAACGTTGCTTTTTAATGGATTTTATTTATTTATTTACCAGTTTATTTTATAGTAGATTTTTAAGTAATTAAGCAAGTGGTAACAAATCTTCCATTAATAATCTCTGATATTCTGTAACGATTCCTTTGATTTTAACTAAAACCCACGCAGCCATGGACCGAGCTTGTTCATTCATCTTATTTTCAAAGATAGCTTTTGTAGGAAATTTTTTTTTTTTTTAAAAAAAAAAGCTTTTAAATACTTAAAAAAAACAAATATAACTTAACTTACTTGTAACCCATTGGTTTGTTTCAATTAATTCTTTCCCATATGATTCTGCCAACTCTCTTTCTGAACTTGTATTAAGTATTACATTTATTCCAAATAAAATTGAAGTTAATACCGCAAGAT